AATAAAAACTATCATGTAATTTGATACAAATCAAACCAAACCAAAACAATACACATTGTCATTGCTATGATGCCTTTTCCCATGCCTGTTAGTTCTACAGCAAAATGGAAAAGAGCTGTTCAGCAATACAAGCAATAGAAGGACAGACTGCACTCTCCCCCTTGTCAAAATCAGCCTCTTCTTTGGTATACTGGGAGATTTCTTCAGATTTAGCGAGTAATCGCTTGCTTCACAAAATGCCACAGAATTAAAGCACAGTCCACATGGAGAATCATTTTCTGTTCATAACAGCTGTCATTTATCTTTGTCTCATCTGGAATCATGCCAGGTTTAAGATGGAGGGAACAAATTATGTACAAGCTAGCTTCATGTTTTAGATTAATATTTAGGAACCTAAATCTGTGTTTCACTCTCCTCCTACAAAACCGTGTATTCTCTACCCTGGCTGTGTAGATCAAACCCTTCTGAGGCCCCGGTCACACGGAGCATTAGCCACGCTAGAGGGACAGAAGATAGGTGGATTTTCCGGGCGCGATCACACCGCCACATTTGGGAAGCATAGAACTCCCGTGGCTCACCCAAGGCTTCCTGCCGAAAATGCGGTTTAAAAAACTAGTACCTCTGAGGTACTAGTTTCCGGAAACCACGGGGCAAGGGCGGGCGTCTGATCGCATTCCTGGTGGTAGTTCCGGCGCCCGCCCATGTCCCCTAGCAAAACGGGTATTTTCCCACAAGTCTCCACGGATGCGCACAAGCACCCAATGGAGCATGCACACACTTTAGTTTTTTAAAAAAACACACAACTTAGCAGCTCGCTAAGACTTGAGTCGTGCAGAGAAGAGGAGAGCAGCCAGAAGAAACGCAACACAGAGCGCACGGCTTGAGGCGAGAGAGAAACAGATAGGGGGAAAGGGGGCAAGGCAGAAGATAAAGCAGCTGAGGCGAAGCCCAGAAGGGGGGGCGCGGCGGCAGAGTAGGAAGTCTGCTTGGGGAAGGGGGGGCAAAGCCGGGAAGAGTTGACTAGACACACGGGCGACGTGAGGGCTCCGTGTGACCGGAGCCTGAGACATCTTCCCAACTTGTAGGTACATAGAAGGATCTGAGTCCTTACTGTAGGTTGCTGGTAAACTGTGTTCCTTTCTTCACTCATATAGAGATTAGGAATTTAGACAAAACAGAGAACTCTGAGGAACACGTAAACCACATGAGAGCTGCAGTCGTTGATTTCTCTTGGTAACCATTTCAATCGTAAGTCCCATAAGATAAATCTCAGTTTTCTCAATAATGTTTTCTTGCATAATGTCCACCTTCACAAGAAATTAGTCAGTGGATTCTGGTTGTATCAGATTCCAGCTGAGTTTTCTAGTCCCAAAAGAGGTTTTCACTTTCTTACAGGGGAGACCTAGTATATACAAAATCAGCAGATTTTAACACCATAGTCTATTACTGTATGTACAAAAAAAGAGAGTAAGAACTTGTCCTCTTACCTTTCCTTTGAAGGCTAACTGAATGTATATCACAAACTTTATGAATAGCTTGATTATATTTAAATCTATGATGAATTTCAGATGATGAATGCCTTCAGTCAAAAGCTACAAATGCATTTTTTCTAATAAACAGAATTTTAGCCAAATTCAATTCTGCTGTAATTTGCCAACTCTATCTGTATTGTATTCTTCCCCTTTAGAAGGCAGACCATTAAAGGATGCAGTATTTTGAGTACATTTTAAACCCCCTACACAATGGAAGTAAAGTAACCCCAAATTTACACATAAGAACATAAGAGACGCCAATGTTGGATCAGGCCAAAGACCCATCCAGTCCAACACCCTGTGTCACACAGTGGCCAGAAATACCAGGTGCCATCAGGAAGTCCACCAGTGGGGCCAGGACATTAGAAGCCCTCCCACTGTTGACCCCCCCCCCAAGCACCAAGAAGACAGAGCATCACTTGCCCCAGAGCCCTTATCTATACCTTGTGGCTAATAGCCACTGATGGACCTCTGCTCCATATGCTTATCTAATTCCCTTTTGAAGCCGTCCATGCTTGTAGCTGAATAGATGAGATTTAGAATTATAGAGTTGGAAGGGACCTCCAGTGCCATCTAGTCCAGCCCCCTGCACAATGCAGGAAATTCACAAATACCTCCCCCTCCACCCCCACAGTGACCCACTGCTCTATGCCCAGAAGAGGGGGGGGACCCTCCAGGATCCCTGGCCAAACTGGCCTGGAGAAAAATTGCTTCCTGACCCCTGAGGTTGGTGTCCACGAGGTTAATCCATCTGGCCAAGGTCTCAGGCTATAATCCGCAGGCTAAGAATCAAGTGTCCTTAGGCTCTTGCCCTTCAGTTTATGCCCAAGGACTCATCTCTTAAGCCATGCTTAGGCTACAAATACCTGCACAGCATGCACACATTGATAAAACACTACAAAAAAAACCAACAATCTTGGTGTGATGATAGAGAGTGTGCACCAGTGTTCTTTTTGTGCACAGCACCTTCCTGATGTACACATGCAGTTCTCTGCCCTACTAAAATTCCACGCAAAAATGAACCCTGATACAACTGCATGTACCATTAAGTCAAGCCTGTTTTTATATTGCACTGTTTTATCCACGCCCATGGTTTTCACACAAATAATGAATATCAGTACATATCAGAAGAAACGCAGAGGTCCTGAACAAATGTAGAGATCTCAGTCATGTGTTCCCTTTATAAAATAGCTGAGGACCTTAGATTCAGGTGGGTAGCCATGTTGGTCTGAAGCAACAGAACAAAGTTTGAGTCCAGCGGCATCTTTAAGACCAAAAAAGTTTAATTCTAGGTATAAGGTTTCGTGTGCACACACACTTCTTCAGATACATTGAAATAGACTTACATATAGGGGTGTGTGTGTGTGTGTGTGGGGAGGTTAGTTGCCATCTTGATTCTAGTGATCCCTTCCTGTAACTAACCCCCCACCTATATGTAGTGCTTGACAAAGTCTGTTTCAACGTATCTGAGGAAGTGTGCTTGCACACAAACCCTTATACCCAGAACTAAACTTCGTTGGTCTTAAAGGTGCCACAGGACTCAAACTTTGATATGAGGCCCTGTTATTCTGATTGTCACTGACCATTATTTATACCATATTCAGTGTCCCACAAAACCACTTGCAAACATGCCAGTGGCAACTGAATTTTTCAGGAATTTCTACATAAGGGAATCCCTAGATATGCAGAAAAATAATGGCTTGTAAGTTTAAAATGCAAACCAATGAGGACAGCGCATGCTCTCTTGGAATTGGAATACTGAGACCAGCTAAGAGTAACTTCAGGATGGGGAGAGAAGACAGGATGGGCTCAAGAGCTTAACAATGTATTGTACCCGGGAGAGGCAGATTTGGACTGGAGGGTAGAAATACTCATCTTTTGATCTCACTCCTCTGTGATTCCTGTCAAGCCTCCAACTGGCTGAATTATATTTTTAACTAGTTAAAACTGTATTATTATTTTTTAAAAAGAGAACAACTAAATTTGGGCTTAATTCTTGAAAGGAAACTCCAAACCTCAATCACCTTTTCACAGCCAACATTTGCCAATTCAAAATCCCAGGCATATCCATGCAGACATCATTTGTGACTGCAGCCAATTACAGAATCTACATAAACAGGTGCAGTCTTTGTGCTCAAGTTTGGGTTTCTACATTAGTCAGGCTATGTAAATATCAGTCTAGCAATTTTCTAGGAGCAGACAAAAGCCCCTTGGAAATAAAGAAAGAGGGCCAAGACCAACAGTTCTAGTAAAAACTGTATTGTGAAACTGAAGAGATTTTGAACAAACCCTGAAAACTGAAACATACAGCCTCATCAATGGGAATTGCTGGTTTTTTTCTTTAAAAAAGAAGAAATCCAGCCCTTGTAGATTAAGAGCCAGCAAGTGTTGGAAATACGATGCCAAACACAGAGACAATTTCTTGTGTTCTTGCTAGCTATCATCTTAGTACATTATTATGGTAATGATGATGCTCTGCTAAATGTAAAAGAAATTATGGCTGCAATCCACTGAAATAAATGGGACATTTCTGGGTAGATATGGTCAGAATCAGACTGTAATTCTTTCAGTAAAAGGAATATGGACTGTAAAATCCCCAGTTTTCAGAGACACCTAATGAAATGCACTATCATCTTGAGGCTGTCAAGTGATCCTGTAACAGTATTTATTGTTTTAGTACTCTCAACTGATGCACTGCTTGGTCAGAAGCTTTTCTGGGTGGCCCTCAGCTTAATTTGTCTCACAATGTTGCTGTGAGAATAAAATGAAATAAGGGTATATCTTAATCTCCCCCCCCCCTTCAATTTTCCAGTCTTTCACTAAAAGCTCTTGGACAGAGCAGGGAAGAAATCTAAATATTCTGAATATTTGTCAGGCAATTGTCAGGGCTGTGCAAAACCTGCCAAACAACAAAAAATAACAAAATAACTCAGTCATGGCACAGTGGCAGAGAGTGTGTTTTGCATGATCCAAGTTCAATCATTGGCATCTCTAGATAAAATACCTTTCTCCTCTGCCTGAGACCAACAGAGAACAGCAACAATACTGAGCTAACCGGATCCATGGTATGGCTTAATACAAGGAAGTTGCCCAAAATCTAAGCACAAGTTCCTTATTTGGCTAACTTTCATTTAACAAACCCATCCTGAATGCTTCTGCTTTGAAGTAGTCATAAAAAGATGACAGAATAACCAAAATCAAACCAATAAAGGCTGGTGTAAAATCCCATCTCCTGAGAAAATTCTGAAGGATCATATTATGCTAGGAGAAACCTCTCACTTATTTGTTTGCTTTCGGAAAATTTCAAAATTCATTTCCCCCCATACTTTTGTTGCATTGTTCAAGACTCGCCAGGTAGTTGTGTGGTTATGAAAACTAACATTTGAGCTGCCTGCTTTCCCACCTTTCCCAAACGAGCCAGTAGAATGCCTGCCACATCCCGAAGGCTCTGATTTCCTGTTTTCTTACTTTCAGAAAGCTGTACATGCAGATGGACATCCAGTTGGTCAGCATCTTTTCAACTACAGACTCTGTTCTCCTTAGCATAAGTTTGGGATTTTTAGAGGCAGAAGCATCGATGAGATCCACCAACAGGTCCTTCATGATGCTGGTGTAGTACTCCAGTTTCCCATGCAATGCAATGGTAAGCAAGGAGGCCAGGTTGCATCTGGAGGAAGAGTTAACAAACGGTTTTGAGATTGGTAGTGCAAGATGGAATTCATCAATCAACATTAACAGAAATTAAAACCATGGTAACATTCCAGATTGTTTTCACAAAGCCTCTCAAAAATGTTGAAGTTTCAAACCATTTGTCTCACAGCTGTGCATAATCACATTGTATTATGCCACCCTTAGATGGAAATGGATGCCAATGGTTAGAAGAAGAAAAAAGTAATCTGGCACTCTGTATGATAATAGAGAAGGTTAACACCTGCAAGTTGGAAAATGGCACAGCTCTGTTTTTTTAAAGAAATAAAACAACAGCACAAAGGCTTGATGTTCTAGGGGAACACATTTTGTTGTCTCTTCATATGCTAAGCCAATAGTTCAGATCTTCTCTGCATTAACCAGAATGCACACCCAATCAACTGTCTCGGCTTCCCCCCACCCCCGCCCCTTAGGCTCTCACCCTAATTGCCATTTTTGAACAATGTAATTCTTATGTCAGAATTAAGTAAACGTAATCTCTGTTTGGCTGACAACCAGCCAGTACTTGAATATTGTTCAATTTACACTTAACATGCTTTGGATGATGTTGTGGAGACTACTGTGTGATACGTTGCTGACTCTGGAGGAGTAAAATAGCTGCTAGTAAAGGTTCCCTTGCTCGAAAGCCAGTCGAGTCCGACTCTAGGGTTGTGGTGCTCATCTCCGTTTCAAAGCCGAAGAGCCAGCGCTGTCTGAAGACGTTTCAGTGGTCATGTGGCCGGCATGACTAAACACTAAGGCGCACGGAACGCTGTTACCTTCCCACCGAAGTGGTACCTGTTTATCTACTTGCAATTTCTTGCTTTCGAACTGCTAGGTTGGCAGGAGCTGGAACTAGAGATGGGAGCTCACTCTGTCATGCAGCAACTCGGGTCTTGAACTGCTGAACTACTGACCTTCCACATAGCTGCTAAAAGGACCTTAATTTCTGCATCTACATTGTAATGCACAGAGGATGCAGGAGCATGGTTTCTCTGTATTGCAGAGGCTTAGAGACAATCGTACTCTCCAGGGAAATAAAAAACATATCGTTTTCCTGCCAGTTCAAGGATTGGAGAAGTATGCAAAAGGAAAACCCTATACCCTCTCCTGATGGAAATGCAGCACAATTTGCTTCTAAAGTGCAGAAATCATGCAAAATATATAGGGAATGAGGTGTAAAAATGCAATGTTTTCTGATATTTTTTGGGAACAAGAGTGTCTTCATTTATGTCTATACCAAATTTTAGCTTTATATGAATTGCATAAATATGTTCCTTAACGATTTTGATACTCCTGTTTATATATCTATGAACATTTACTTTGGACATCAAATTCTTAGCCAGCACTAAGGAGCTCAAGAAGTACTGTCAGAACAGGTTAGCTACTCCCCCTCTGAAATAAGGAGTTGCTCAGAGTTGATTTTAAAACATCTGGAAGCACTCATTTATTGATAAGCAAAGATATCCGGTTCAGAAACATAAAGGGCAAAACCAAGTAAAACCTTTTGTGTTTATTAAGGACTATGTGCTTTCCAGTGCCAAAAATCAGGGCATAATTTATTCAGGTTTGTGGAGCAGAAGAAAGACATAGACAGCTTCGACTGATCATAAGCCATCTAAAGTCACTGTAAAATCTCAGGAATGTCTTACCTGTCTCTAACAGCAAAATCTTTCTGTTGCTCAAGAGCATGGACGAACACAATGAGAAAGTGCTTGTTATTGAGTAAGGTGGAAAACAATGCAATTCCCTCTTCCATATTTGGTCTGCAATTCTCAGGAATCTGCAACAAAACCAGCAATTTGGATCAGAATAACAAGCCTTGTAGGTGTCTGTTGCTCCTACCTTGAATGGTCCAATCTATTTTAAACTAGTACACATCATGTTAAGTAGGTGCTAGAAAGATGCCTAATTTATTTTAAGCAATAATAAGAATATTATTTTATTACTTCTTTATTTGAACTTTATCTATATCACCTTTCTACCTGAAGGCCTTCACTGGTGCACAGCAATAACCATTCTTTTTATAGGTAGGTAAAAATCATTTTTTAAAATAAAGTATTTAAATATAAAGCACTTTAGTATGTACACAAGGAAAAATATGATGGCATTAACCTTTTATGAGAATGATTGCGAGTGACCTCAAATTCTACCATAGTAAACCACTCCCAAGTCAAAACAACAACTTTTTAAAGAAAGCTAGTTTCCTTGAGACCTGGTATCCTACCGATCCACTGAACAAAATTTGCAGCCTTCTTCCTAATTTTGTGGTTTTTCTGTTGAAGGAAGCGCCACTTAAGTTGTAGGAAGGCTCATTACCCTGGAAGAACCTCTTCCAGCCTAAGCTAGGATAAATGCCAATAGCAACAGACTGTAATAGATCAGTAGTCCATATTATCCGCAGCCTTTTTTCAAAAGAAAGGGAGCAACAGTAGTACTACCGACTGGCAGTACTACTACCTTTTACAGTTCTGCAGGGCCTGCAAGATGGAGCTCTTCCACCAGGCATTCAATTAGGAGTCGCCACCCCACTACCACCAACATCGGTGGCTATGGATTGGCCCTGGCCTGGAGAATGTGCCGCACTACTGCGCAATGCCAAAGACCATGGAATTAGAAACATTGGTTGTATGTTATACAATAGGCTATTTGAACTACTGATAGACGATCATCAGCACTAGCACTTGTTTATTGGATTGTTTTAAATGTTTTGGAATGGTACCGGGTACCAATGCTCCCTCTAAGCTGTGGAGTCTTGTGAGCAAAAATTCAACTTTATGAGCTACTGGCATTAAAGTTGTGAGCGAGCAATTTGGCTTCTGCATAAATCAGTTTGCTCCGGAGCCATCCTTCCTGAGCTAAGACAGAAGTGTGTGAGTCGGAGGCTAAAAAACTGTGAGCTAGCTCACACTAACTCAGCTTAGAGGGAACACTGCTGGGTACCAATTCTGTAAGCCGCCCTGAGCCCACTTGTGGGGAGGGCAGGGTATAAATAGAATAAAATAAATAAATAAATACCTGCCAATCAATGCTCCCTTTAAGCTGTGGATTCTTGTGAGCAAAAATTCTACTTTGTGAGCTACTGGCATTAAAGTGAGCAAGCGATTTGGCTACTGCATGAATTAGTTTGCTCCGGAGCCCTCCTTCCTGAGCTAAGACAAAAATGTATGAACTGGAGGCTACAAATTGTGAGCTAGCTCACACTAGCTCAGCCTAGAGGGAACACTGCTGCCAATCATATGGAAAACTGGGGCACGTTATGGCTGTCAAGTGAGAAGAAAGTATGCGATCGGGGGGGGGGGGGGGGGCGGCTCACAGTGCCTCCTGTAGTCATCTGTACTTTAGTCTCAATTCTCTCATTGAGGATAACAGTTTTTGACATGGTGGATAAACCACTTGGACTTGAAAGAAGTTAAGAGGTACAAACTACATATTAACTGAATGCATGCGAATTGAACGCAAACATTTTTATTCTACTGCCTTTACCAGCAGTTTTACTTTTTCTACAGCTTTCTGCATGAAACAAGGAACTGGAATCAGTTGCTTCTACTCCCCGGAGCTGAATTTCATCTTTCCCTTTCAATAATTACATGAAATCTGTGTAGCCTCGTATGCATTTAGTCTTCAATCAATACAAAAAAATAATACAAAATATTAAAATAATACACACAACAAAATAATAATACATCTTATGCATTTAGTGTTTAATCAATACAACAAAATAATACAAAACAATACATCAATACAACAAAACAACACAACTAAATAATACAGGAGACATAATCATCCGTAAATTGGATTCATGTTTGTATTACTTACTTTCCATTCCCCCAACAGTAACGGGTGAGTTTCTTGGATCTGAGATCCCATCTGTGAATAAAGGTGCTGGGAAGGCAAAATGTAACGCTCCTCATAGAGAGAAGAACACTGAAAAACAAAACAAAATTCAAATCATATTTTGTTGTTTAGCAAGAAAGGAGCCAAGATTGAATTAATTATATCTTATTTATGTATTAATTCAATTTATACCCCGTCCTCCCCGCTGAGGCAGGCCTACATAAAAATAAATGCATAAATACAGTTGAAATTATCATAAAATCATCTAAAGACAATTCAATTATAAAACAATTCAATATCGTAAGGTGACAGCGGTATCTCTTAATTGCTTAACAATGTCGGTGCCATATGAATGCATTCAAGATCTAGCTAAATGTTCCCTATACCAACAAAGCATCATTGGCCTTTTATGCTTGGGTGTTTTGTCTCACTTTCACTGTGCATGTCTGTCAGGTTTTCCTTTTTTTCTGCATTGTTTTTCCTTCCTTCAGTTCCTCAGTTCACTTTCTGTTCACTGTTTCCCTGGGCTTTCTGAGAGTGCTTTCGTGCCAGTCTTTCCCTTGCTTCGCTTCCAAGCCAAAGGTGCTTAAAAAGCATACAAATTCCCTTGGATTCCCCCCTGCCCTTTTCCTGCCCCTCACAGGCTACTCCAATGCCCACATTCAGGTTGTTCCACCTACTCTGTACCTTCTGCCATTCATCGGTGTGTCCCTCGCTGTTTTACATTAAACATTTTTTTACAAGCAGCATGAGTTTAGCAATATGAGATTATCACTAGTCTCATTGTTGTTGTTCAGTTGCACAGTCGAGTCCGACTCCTCGCGACCCCATGGACCAGATCATGCCAGGCCTTCCTGTCTTCCGCCGTCCTCTGAAGTTTGCTCAATTTCATGTTCGTTGCATCTATGACACTGTCTAACCATCTCATCCTTTGCCGTCCCCGTCTTCTTTGACCTTCAATCTTTCCCAGCATCAGGGTCTTCTCCAGTGAGTGCTCCCTTCTCATTTGGTGGCCAAAGTATTTGAGCTTCAGCTTCAGTATCTGGCCTTCCAGGGAACAGTCAGGGTTGATTTCTTTTAGGATGGACTGATTTGATCTCCTTGCAGTCCAGGGGACTCTCAAGAGTCTTCTCCAGCACCATAGTTCAAAAGAATCTACTCTTTGGCGCTTGGCCTTCCTTATAGTCCAACTCTCGCAGCCATACAGTACTACTGTATGTAAAAAATGACTCCTGGCTGGGCTGCCCTCTCCTGCCACCCAGTTTAAACCAGGTGGAGAGAAGCAGCAGCACAGGCACAGCGAGCCTGGCTGGGATGCCCTCTCCTGCCACCCGGTTTAAACCCGGCAGCGGGAGAAGGCAGTGCAGAGCTGTGCCTGTGGGGAGCCATCAGCTCCCTGTTTGTTCACATGCTGTGAAGTTCGTTTCTTGGTGGCCTTAGGGTGGGGCAGTCACATTCAATGATGATAGAGCTCCTCCCTGGAGGCAGTAAAGATTGTTAATTTTGTTTAATGACTCCTAGTGGAAGGGGCTTCTCTCTTAGTCTCCCAGACCAGTTCATGAGCTGTGTAGCTCCCCACAACTACAAAAAACATATTAACTCTAACAGCCAACAATTAAAATGAAACAGTAAGAAAGCAGGAGAAACAACAAAAGGCCATGCTACAAGATTGCCCCTCTGGGACTCTTGAGTGTAGGAAGCAACTGACCGCCTTACCCTAGAACCACAGAGAAAGGAATATCATGGTAAGTGAACAAACTTTCCATTCTCTGGTAGTCCAGTGTGGGGCAGTCACAACCAATGGGATGTACAAAAGCAGTGTACTACAGGTCAGGCCACTTGATATCTAAACTGTCAGAGCTTGTTGGATGATTCTTCTCCTAAAGGAGGCATCAGCAGACACTTCCTTGTCAATGTGCCAGTGCCAGGAGAAAGTATGCACTGACTTCCACGTAGCTGCCTCACAGACCATCTCTAAGGAAGGAAATGCCCTGTATGCTGCAGAGGTAGCCTTCCTCCTAAGGGAATGAGCCATAACCCCCACCAGGTTTCCAGCCCCCTGGGTTTATAGGCCAGAGCAACACAACCCCTCAGCCATCTTCCCTGGGTGGACATCAAAACCCTGGAACCAACAGAGAACTTTTTGAAAGTGACAGAGCATCAGATTTCCTCACAGCCTTAGTTCTATCAATATAAGAACCCAGGGCCTTCCCAACATCCAGGCAATGCCACTCTCTTTCCTGCGAATGTTTGGGATTAGGGCAAAACAATATCCTCTGATGTTTGAAAGCAGGAGTTGACTTTGGAACTCAAGTATGGGTCCGTCTTCAGCATTCCCTTATCATTGTGGAATTTATCCACAGAAAGAACATGAAGCTCCAAAATCCTACAGCTGAGGTGATTCCCAATAAAAAGACAATTTTGAAACTGAGCTTCTTCAAGGGACGTGGCCTAAGTATTCAAACTCCCTGTGGGAAACCTATGAGTAACTGCCATCCCTCTGAGGAACCTCTTGATGTGGGGATGGGAAAAGAAATCTTGCTTTCTTATCCCCCGCCACTGCACAAATGGCTGCCACCTGTTGTTTGAGGGTACAGGTACAGTTGCTCAAGCCCTTGTCTAGCCCAGCTTGGAGAAAACCCAAAATATCTGTGACGTCCCCTGAGGTGGCCAACAGCCTTCTCCCCACACCAGGACCAGAAGACTTGCCAGGTGTTATTGTACACTTATTGAACTTTCTTCTGGAAGCTGCCAGGGTCTGTTTCCCTAAACTACTGTCACTTAGCCTCCAGGCTGTCAGCTTAAACAGGTCTGACTAGGGATGTTGAGAGAGAAGATCTTTCCTACTCAGGAGTCACCATGAGGGCCAGGAGTACCACCAGGAGTACCACCAAATCAGATCCTGGAACCATGCTCGACAAGGCAAGAATGTTGGTATCAGAATGTTAGCTTTGAGCTCCACCACCCTCTTCTGGAGAAGATGCAGTGGTGGAAAGGCATACAACTATTGGTCCAGCCTAGGCTTACCAAGTACTTACCTTGAATCAGCGGGGGACACATATGTCTTGTCAGGAACATTCCCGCACGGAAAACAAACATGCCGCACCATGCCGTTGCCCAGACGTGACGCCAGCACGCTGGGCATTTAGCTGGGCGACGCTCTGGCAATGGAGCTGGAAACTCGATGGTACTTCTGACTGAAGCACAAAGAGTATGCAGCCCTCCTCCCCTCCTAGGGAGAGAACCTTGAGGAAGGGCTCATCTCTAAAGGACAACCCAATCCTGGCTCCCAGCAACAGCAGAAAGATAACCCCCTGGAGAGGCCCTCAAATAAGCTGGGAGTGGGAGCAGAAAAAAGACCAGGGAGAAAAGGAGTCACTGCACTCTTTTACAAGTGCAGTTAACAACCGGTCTGTCTTCTAGCCAGAAAGGGTTGAAACTGGGAGACTTAAGGAGAAGCCTCTCCTACTAGGAGTCATAAAAAGGGTTAATGACCCTGACTGCCTCCAGGGAGAAGCTTCTTTCGTACTGGTTTTGACTGCCCCACCTTGGGCTACTGGAGAAGGGGGGGGAAAGAAAGTCAGAGAAATTTTGAACAAACAAGGTTGGAGATAATAACACTTAGCATTTGTATAGCATCTTCAGTGTTTAAAGCTTCTGTTATCACAATAATCTTCATAATAGCTTTATGTTACCCACCTCACAAGAAAACAGCTGCTACTGGGGAACAAAAAATAGGCAAGTCGTAGAATGTTGAAGTGGCACCCTAAGGCCACCAGAAACCCTGCTCAAGCCCCGTTTGGCTTTTGGTTTTCACCAGACACTGCCTAGACATTTGAGTGTTTTTCCCGACAACTACTAGAAATCTGCTCTCTAAAAATAAAATCTAAGATTGTCAAATTGCCAATTTTTTGTGCAATGTACCAGATTCAGTGGATGTGCTGAAAATTTCCACCCATTCTTTTAACCCTGAATTGTCTACAATCTTATCTAGGCAGAGGCCATAGTGGAATGAATGGAATATTCTGCAAAAAAAGAAGGGGAGCCTCTACCACGATCAATAAAACAGCTGTTTCTGAAGGAATACAGCAATTAATTCAGCAAGACAGTAAATGTAAGGCAGTAAGAAGATTTTTTTAAAAAAACAGAGTTGCATTTGGTATCATATTAATGACTGGATTCAGGTTGACAGATTGGAACTGGATCTGCTCAGGGGAAAGACCTGCACCTGTGAGAAGTCTCCCAGGGTGCTGTAAGGGTAGTGAATGCTATTTATTTCTCCTAAGAAAGTTCCTTACAACAACTTCAAGCATTGTTATAGTCACGTCTTTGCAATGTATGGATCTAAAAACAGACATGGTTGAACAGGATGTCCAGATGTGATTTGACTCAGCTGAAGTTTGAATGAAAAGTTGACCCCAGTGGCAGAGTTCCTGAAGCAAATCCCAGTGCAAAACCAATCATCTTCTTCCTGGAAAACTGAAGATGCTGACTGGTGTAGTGTATGAATCAACATAACTGGTAAGAACAAGTTCGAGAACAGAGAGAAAAATCTTTTACAAAAATCTTAAAAAAGAAAGATGGAACAGAGACAAATAGGAATCTGGAAATAAAAACAATAATTGAGGACTTTGATAAAAATCTTTATGGAAAATCAGAGACAACTGTGGATCAGATAATGAAGTATTTGGAAATACACCAACCTAAAAAATTCTCAAAAGAATATAAGGAGATATTAAATCAAAGAATATCGATGATGGAAGTTGTAGAGGCACTCAAAAGAAAGAATAGAGGTAAAGCTCCTGCACTGGATGGATTACCGATAGAATTTTACCTTGTTTTTGAGGAACAATTAACTTCAATCTTGAAGGATATCTGCAACAATGTATTAATGGGCGGGAAAATCCCAGATACATGGAAAGAAGCAATTATCTCTCTGATCCACAAACAAAACTCAGATAAGAAGGAGATAAAGAACTATAGACCAATTTCATTATTGAATGTGGTCTATAAAATGTTTGCATCTATTATTGCGGAGAGATTAAAAAAAGTGTTGGCCAAAACGATACATAAAGACCAAGCTGGATTTTTGCCTAAAAGACAAATGAGAAATAACTTGAGATGTGTCATTGATATCCTGGAGTACTACGAACTGCATCATCAAAAGCAGTTGGCTTTAATTTTTTTGGATGCAGAGAAGGCGTTTGATAATGTCAATTGGACTTTTATCTTGGATGCATTGAGAGAGGCAGAGGCTGGAGAAAACTTTATAACAATGATACAAGCAATATATACAAAGCAAAATGCAGCAGTAATGGTCAAAGGAGAAATAACAAAAAAAATTGAAATACGAAAAGGAACAAGGCAGGGCTGCCCCCTCTCACCACTATTGTTTATCTTTGCATTAGAGATTTTGAATGACGAAATTAGAAGAGAAACTAAGATTAAAGGATTTAAAATCAAAAAAGAAGAATTTAAACTGTTGGTTTTTGCAGATGATTTAGTATTTATACTTGAGAATCCCGACACTTCGGCTGTTACGTTAAAGGAGAAAATACAAGAGTACGGACTGGTAGCAGGTCTGAAAATAAATGCGGAAAAGACTAAAATTTTAACTAAAAATATGGACCAAAACCGGAAAACACATCTACAAGAAATCACGAGCTTTCAAATAACTGATAAAATAAAATATTTGGGAATAAACTTGACTAATAAGTGTGTATGAAAATAATTACAAAGAGCTTTTTAAAACAATTAAGTTAGATTTGGAAAAATGGAAAAATCTACATATATCTTTTATGGGAAGAATTACACTAATTAAAATGAACGTTTTGCCTAGGTGGATATTCTTATTTCAAACAATTCCCATACTTCAGAATCAAAAGCTCTTTAAGGAGTTGGATCAAATGATTTCAAAATCTGTATGGCAGGGAAAGCGATCAAGAATAAGACTGAAGGCTTTACAAGATATTAAAGAAAGAGGAGGCTTAGGCATTCCAAATTGATTATTACACTACAGATCAGCAAGCGCTCGTCTGGATAAAATAATGGATTACGCTAGAGGATAAGAGAACACTGGAACTTGAAGGACATGATCTATTACTAGGGTGGCATGCTTTTCTGTGGTATGAAAAAGCTTTAACACAGAAATATTTTAAGCAACATTGGCTACGAGCAGCACTTTTGAAAGTTTGGGATTTTATCTTTAAAAGATTTTATAGCAAAAACTCTAGACTTATTGCACCACTTGAGGCTTTTACTTTATCGAATATACATGAGGGGGAAGAATTAATAAGATACCAGGATATTTTGGACAACAAAAATTTAATGAATATACCAGACGTTCTATCATGGTGGCGCAAAATGCAACTGGAATCCAGGTACAATAAAGATTAAAAATTAGGCTTTTATGAAGATTTAACAGACATGGAAATTTTTTTGACCTCGATGGACTCTAAGTTGATTGAAAGAACTTATGTCTTTTTACTTAATGATATGATGTATGATGAGACTGTTAAACCAAATATGATCTTATGGGCACAGAATGTAAGCCATAATATTGAATTAGAACAATGGGAACAAATATGGAAAGAAAACATTAAGATAGCGAAAGCTATTGCATTTAAAGAGAATATGTATAAGATGTTTTACAGATGGTATATAACACCTGATAGAATAGCTAAAGGGAATAGTAAGTCTTCAAATAAATGTTGGAAGTGTTTATCTAGTACAGAATCCTTTTATCATATGGGGTGGCATTGTGATGTAACTAAGAGATACTGGAGAGGGATTCATGCAATAATGCAGAAGATAGTGGGATGTACAATTCCATTTACGCCCGAAGTAATGCTTCTGGGTATACTACCTAAAGACTTTGAAAAAAGCAACAGATATTTATCTACTTTACTACAGCGGCAAGAATGCTATATGCCAAATATTGGAAGGCACAAGATGTACCAAAAAAGAAGGAATATATACAAAAACTGATGGAAACAGTGGAAAGTGATAAACTTTGTTGATAAGAGGATCCACAAACTATACATTCCAGAACACATGGAGGTGCTTCTATAATTGATATAATAGTGCAAATGAGTGTAACCTAAAAATGTAATCCCCAGAGCAAAGTAGGGGTCAGAACACTGAGATAGCAGGTACAGATGTTGGTTTTAAGATACAAATGTGAGCTCATAGAAAATAATGCTACATGATATTGTATTAGACAGAGAATATCTAAGAGGCAATTATTGGAAACACAAGCATTTGATACCCCTGTTTGTGTTATATGTGTGTATATTTGGTTTGTGTGGTATGAAAAAAGCAAATAAAATTCTACCCTTTGAGGGCAGATTTAAAAAAAAACCAAAAACATCTGGTAAGAACATTTGCTTATGAAACATCTGAGAAACAATAACTGATGTGTAATGGTCTAGTTTTGTACTGGTTTGAACTGAAGAGGCCACATCAGTGGGGACTCAAACGTGACCATGGTATGCTTCCACTTACAGGATAAGAATCAAAGTTGGAAAGAGGTGTTGTTTTTTTGAGGCTTAAGTTTACCATTTGTCATTATTACAGGGAAGTTGTATAATACTTCACTAGAAACATTTAGTGAAAGAAACAATAAAAATTAGAACAAGTATAAAGAAAACCATATAATTAAAAAAAACCCCTCAAGGTGTGCCATGCAGTCTTACTTTGGGAAAGAAAGTTCGGGTCACGAAATACTTGTACTCCAAGAATGGGATTCCCTGGCTGCGGTTTAACTCCTTGGTCAGGTCTGTCATATCTGTCTGGAGCTCAGCAAAACCTGGTTCAAAGAAAACACAAGAGAAGCAAATAGTCACTTTCATGCATTGAATTAATTGGTCTCTATTTCACCACAATAATAAGTAGTGGCGATACTTAATTTTCAACAAACCCTGCATACAAATGATCACCAATGATGGAGAATTCTGTTATACAGATAGTTTTATGTTGTTCATGGCCAATGGTTTGTTTTTAATGGTTTGTTTTTATATTATTACATTGTTTTACTTGTAAGCCGCCTTAAGCAGACATCTGAATAGGCATTACAGAAATATCCTAAATAAATAAATGGAACCCCAGCATCCTGGCTCAAGACTCCCAGAATCTAAACCTGGAATTCTTTGTTTATCAATTTATAATTTTCAATGCCAGCAGCCTGGAAGCTTGCAATTTCCCCAGACACATGCAGTAAATTGTTGTTATAGAAAAATTATTTGAACTGCTAGATTCCTACTCACTACTTTGTGATTTGCCTACTTCATTACTACACAAACCTCCAAAATAATACCATGGGAATTTTAGTTACAAAATGAGAATGCAGCTTCACTTTTGTTAACAGTAATAATACCATTTTGCAATACCAAAGCTAGTTATCTCAGACATAGGACTCAGGGCTCAGTACGTCTATAACAATGACTGTAAGGGATGTTTTAGGATTGCAAAACTTCTCTTAGAATGTTCAGAGGACAAATTTCTCTGCTATTCATGTTCACAGATTTCTTCAGCTTCCTAAATTATAAATAATTACCTTTGCGGATTTCTTCCCGGATCTGGGACTCCATCTCTTCCATCTGCAGCAGAGTTTTCTGCCAATAACGCTCTGCCCTGCGGCTCTTGGTGCAAAACACAAAAAGGGCTAGAGAAATGAAAGGAAAAATGGCCCAAAGCCAAGAGCCGAAATGATAAGGATAGCGATCTTTATATACATTCTCATTAAGATAGCCCATGCTTTAACACCATTTTGCTTAGCACATAATACAGTCCCACTCAGCAGCGAGAACTAATGCTCAATAAACATGGGCCAATCGGCACTACAACCAATACAGCAAGAAAGCATTATGAGTCAGTGCTTTGGATCAAGGATTGCTACCTAAGGGTTAGAATGGCCCAGTTATGTTCATTATAAAAGTAGATATAACCATGACACCTTGTGAGCCCATATCACAGTTTTGATATAAGATGATCACACCTGCATTGGCAATGTTGCTGTGAGTGTGTGTGTGTGTGTGGGGGTTATCTACCAAATTTAAACTGTAAAAACAACAGCTGTGTGGGTAAGTCAGGAAGTCAACAATGTAAATAAACTTTGCCTCATCATCTTCATTTCGTTACCAAATCAGGAATTCTTTTCCACCCAAGAGCACAAGCTTAAAAAAGTGGGAATTTATCAAGTGTACGTAAATTGTGAAGTGTCTACGTACTCAAAGACTTTGTGCATAGATGTAAATGCTCCCAGAACTCAATCTAAACCATTTCTGGCAACATATTAACGTCTACCTCTGCTAAAATAAATTTGTTATGCTGATCAGAATTACTAAAATGTAGCCACAGTTTTGCAGTATGATTTACCATCACATGACAATTACTGTAAGAAGTGAAAACAGGAATCAGAAACTGATTTTGATTAGCATAAAATTATTTAGAGAAAGGGCAATAAACAAAACATAACAAATTATATTTATTTAGCCCTGTAAAATCAATGCGTGGCTGGTTGAGCAGGTGTTGATTATCTATAATTAAATTAAAACAGCTGGAAATAATGAGCATACTATAGCCATTATATCAAACTTAAGCCTGGATATTATATGTGGAAAGACTTAAAGACAGATCAATAAGTCCATTTAAAGGGTTTCAGCACCCAAGCAATCTGTGTATCATGAGAGTTCCTCTGTCTCCAGAATTGGGTTTTGAACGATCAACAGGCCATAAACAACTTTTATTAAATATAAATTAAATCAAGTGATGACAGGGAGATACTGTCGCTCATTAAGCAGTGAATACCTATTAGAATCCAGTTCATGGCTAACAATGAAGTTTGAGCCAGGAGGGGCAGCTGTTAGATAGATTTACAAGAACACGAAGGAGAAGCAAGCAGGTGGGATGGAATTTATACCCCACCTCTCCTCTTGGCTCAGAGCAGATGAAAAGGACTCCCAGTCTTCAGAGTTTCATGGAGGTGGATAAATGGGAAATGCCTTTTCAATATTTTGCCCAGGGCATCAAAATGCTTAAGTGTGAATCTGGTTAATTTTTCAAGGATGTTTAGATAGGTGTGTCTCTCTCTCTATTTTTTATCCATTGCTCTAATAAAGGCAGGTGAATTTACTGTTTTGTTTTTTTCATTGAGTACAGCTTTTAAATCATCCAAACTTGAAACAGTCACTTCTAGGGTTAAACTTATACAAAAGACAATTATATTAATGAACCTTTGGAAAGTCTGTGTTTTCAAATGCAATGTTGGATGAACATATCATTGAGAGTCAAGCATTGCTCCTTACCTACTATAGAGAGCAGCAACAAGATACTGCAGATGACTATGGAAACTGTAATGGCCATCTCACTTCCTCCAAGGTGCAGCATAGCTATAGTTTGAATGAATTTTCCAACTTGGATCTAAGAAAGAACAGAAAGGAACCCCCACCAAGCTGTTTAATGAGAAGTTAGAAACAATACAGAAACCAGGTTATAGGGGAGTGATGTTCTGCACAGACAAATATGCTTAACAAATTACATAGTTGCTGGCTCTGCAATACTGAATGGATCACAGTGCTGCAGTTTAATAGCCGGACTTGTTTTGATTAGTGTTGGCAGGTCTGCTGGTAGTTGTCTGTCACTGTATCTGCATATACAGCAAAGGCTATATAGCTCCTCACACCGCATGGTGGTGGTGGTGGTGTGTGTGTCTTCTGCTGATGTTCTGAAGTCTATGATCCTGAAAGATTAGAATTCAAATTCCTGCTCAGGAAGAGGCTCACTGCAAAGCACTGGAAAACCTGCTCAATTCCTGCCTGGGTTGTGTAGATTTTAAAAGATATGGGTATATTTTCAAAAGGCACACCCGTGCCCAAAGACGAATGAAAGTACAGTGTTAGAACTGCAGTTAACACATTTGTTTTATAAGCTCCAGATCTGAACTTCTCTCCAAGGCAGAAGAAGATGCATGTAACTATGATTTAGATATCACACTCCCATAAATCTTCAGATGTGGTTGTAACTCCCTAGAACAAAAATGTGTCTTTTAAACACAACAAGAGAAGCAGTCTTTGGTCTCTTGTTACCTAAATTGCTGTGGGAATTATTTATTACCAGCATACTTTATCAAGAACAACCATCGTAATGTAATAAAATGTATTTGATCATAAACCCTGTAGCACAACTAATATTTTTCCAGTTTTTCCAAACATTTTATTTGGAAGAGAAAAAGAAAATGCACACTAACCTTAACTATGACTAAATTAAAATCCTGGGCTATTAAACCGAGAAGGACTGAAAAGCACTTTGCATATTAAAAATCACTGATAAAACATGGCTATGAGCTGAATCAGGCTAATGTCTATCGAGTGCAACTAGGATCAAAATTAGCATATATACATACAGATAGAAATGAAAATTCACTTTCTATACAGTGTGTGAATTGCAGCACTTCCTGTGTCTCAAGGCCAAGTAAAGATATACCATGCATACTATCAATGACCAAGGCCTGAATAATAGCCAAGACCTTTCCGTGACAAGTGCACAAAATGGAATGTGTTTAAAAAATTGCAGAGACATGCCATTGTGTATCTCTTTTCATCCCCCTTTATGAATTCCTCAAATAATGTATCATCTGCCATTACCTAATGTCGACTGCTTGGCTCTTTTAATACTAGCTGGAACTTGGAAAACTCCCAAGTCAAAGATATAATTACGATATAAAACAAAGTAATATGCATGTACAGATGAAGTTATGAGGGTTTGTGGTCTAAGACCCAAAAAAGACAGGAAACCAGTACACTATACATGATTTCCTCTAGAGTGACTGCATTCAACCCTCCTCTATGTGTGTGCAATAAAGATCTTAACCCTGGGATGAGGGAGGGTGGGCATGACAATTCCCACTCTATACCAGAGTGGGACTGGCTCAGTGGCAGAGCATCTACTTTGCATGCAAAAGGCCCCAGGTTCAATTCCAGGCGTCTCCAGTTAAAAAGATCAGTGGTTCAGTTCAGACGGGCAGTTTGAAGCGGGAGGGAGTCATGGCAAAAAAGACCTGGAACAAACTGTTCTGGGTTTTCCCGTTCACACTGCAGCGACTGATGCGGGAGCATACCAGGAGGAGGCGCAAGGGAGCGTTCACACTGTTGGCCCAGAAGCACAGCTGTAAGGTGTGGCTTTTTTTGTAATCTGGAGATATGCACTTATGCGCATGAGCGCTTATGCGCACGAACGCATAAGAAAAATGTGGCTTTTGGCATTCACACTTTGTTGGTGCAGGATGGACGCGGGATAATCGCGCTTTCCAGGGTTTGCTACCACTTTCACCAGGTAGCTTTTAAACTCAGGAGCGAAGCGTTACAAGACGGGTTGAGTATGGGTGGGGAACGCTGGACAGATGTGCCTGTGTGAACGGCCCATTTAATCCGGTTGTGAAACGTTCCTCACACGGGCCTATATCGGGGCAAACTGCCCATCTGAACTCAGCCAGTTGGTGGGCAATGTAAAAGGGTCTATCTGAAATCCTGGAGAGCAGCTGCCAGTCAGAGTAGATAATACTGATCTTGATAAACTAATGGAGTCAGAACTCAGCATGGGACAGCTTCATCTGTTCAGAGAGGAACTTCACTCCCAAACAGCTAAAAATACATGACAATTTGGCTTCTAGAAACATGAGTTTTACTTCTCCAAAGAAATGTAGAGAATGAGTTGGAGAGAAATAGTTTGGAGTAGTCTCTTATGAAGCAGAGATCATCTATGAACTAAAGCCTGGCTTTCCTGATAGACTCTGCAGAGAGGCAACTTCAGAGTTCTGGTAGATGTTACTAGAAATTTCTGTAAAATCCACTAGTTATTATGGCAAACAGAATAACAGGGAAGGGGCTTTAGACATTAAAAAACTCATACATAAAAACGTATATTCCCTAGTGCCCTGTGAAGGCAGAATGTCTATCACTATTCAGTGCTGGGGCAATGTTTATTGACATAATTTAGTTGTGTGTAATCTAACTTAACAGAATCTGTCACTGGATCATTGTTTGGATAGGATTTATTTCCTTTAGAAATGGTATAAGCCATTGTTAGGTTTTAATAGTTTCCCTGCATTTTAAAATGTTATCTGGCAACCTGATAACCCTGCCACATCTGGCAAAAGAAAACATTATCAGGTGGCTCTACTTTTTAACACTGCTTTGCAAATGAACTGATTCAAATCCCTGATTCACATTTTCCAGTTTTAAAACATTTAATTTGGAAACAGAAAAAGAGAGGTTTCTGCCTGTTAATTAGGTAAAGGTTACATACAAACACACGCATGGCTCTTTACCAGTTTCAGCAGAACAGGCCAACACAACATATTGGTATCTAATAATGCTAAGAGTGTGGCACTTTGCAGAAGCAATACCGTGAAACTTTCACACACTTTTGTCTAAGAAAACTGCAATGCGGAACTATTAACCTCAATTTAATATTCTAGATTTTTAAAAATTCTTGTCAAATTGCCCTGAAGCAATATTAATTGCTAGGTGCGAAAATCCCAGACTTCATATTAAAAGATTCTGTATTACTTCCTCTATATACAGTGCCTTTTGTTCTTTTTCTAATTTAATAACAACAGTACCGCCACCACCATCAATAGACATAGCTAGACAGCATCAGCAAAAATAAAAGCCTCGATCCCTCGAAGGCTTTAATCTAAATGTTTGTGCTATGGGAGACAGCAAAATAAGGGAAGGGAAGAATGGGAGAAACAAGGGTAACATGAGACAAATCAGTACAAATATAGTTACACATACTTGCATTTAATGTCAATTAGGAGTAATGTCCAAAGGGCTAAGCCAAAGGCTTCATGGAAAAGATGGCTTTCAAATAGGTTACTTAACATAGCCTATCTCTTAAGTTATTTTAAATATTAATAGCCCCACTCCACCCCATAATGGATGGCAGCTTATAAAGAAGTATGCAACAGCATGTAAATATCTAAAACAGCTACAACTATGAAGAAGTGTTTGTACACACGAAAGCTTACACCTTGAATAAAACTTTGTTGGTCTTAAAGATGCCACGGGACTCAGACTTTGCTGTAACACCCTGACCTGGATAGCCCAGGCAAGCCCGCCCTATCTCATCCGATCTCAGAAGCTAAACAGGGTTGATTCTGGCAAGTACTTGGATGGGACACCTCCCTAGAATACCAGAGGCAGGAGGCGGGGGCAGGCCTTATCCAGCCACCTCTCTGAATATCCTCCAGGTCCCCAGGAGGGATCAATCACCAGAGGCTGCCATGACTTCCAGGTGCACACAGTCACCAGAGGTCACCAAGACTTCCAGGTGCACACACACACGCACGCACGCATACACACACACTTATGAAAAATACAAAAAAATACAAAAAACCCACTTTGTTCTTTCTCTAGCAACTGCAAACTATTTACCATGCAATCATGATAAATCATACAATTTAACATTGCATCTATTTGTCCTTCAATAAAAATGCATCAGTCCCCTGAATCAACAGAAAGCCCTCTGAAACAGACTTATTTTGCAGCCCCTCTAAAAAGCCAGTAATGTAAATGCCCTCTTTTCCTCTAGCAAACCACTCCAAATCCAGACATGGACAGCCCAGGCTAGCCTAATCTCGTCAAATCTCAGAAGCTAAGCAGAGCTGCCCCTGGTTGGATAGGAGACCACCAAGGAAGTCCAGTTATTATGCAGAGGCAGGCCATAGCAAACCACCTCTGGATGTCTCTTGCCTTGAAAACCCTACAGGGTTGCCAAAAGTTGGCTGTAACTTGATGGCACTTTCCACCACATGGGAAGAAAGAGACAATGAAAGGAACATAGCAGTTTTTCAGACCATAAGAGACAGTCTTACAGATATACGGATCCAGGATCATGAAGGGCTTTAAAGGTAATATCACAGATGTGGTCACAAATATAGGGGAACAGTTGCTGGACTTGACAAAAATCCTAGAAAATGTTGTACCACACATAAATAGAGCAAACCTGGCCTCTCAGGGAAGCATGCCAAGGAGGGAGTCTAGAGACCCAGAATAGAATAGCCTTGCAAATCAGTAAGAAGAATACAAAGTCATTATATGGCATTGTGTAGATTAGCAGCCATCTAACTCATTATTAATAGATACAATTTGTTTAGGCCCACGTGAGGAAGTGTTTGAGAGTTGCAAGAATGTCCAACTTCACAGAAGTGAAGATATGATTCAAGGATAGGAGTATTAAGGCCAAAAGATATTCATATGTGTGAGAAACTCGTTATTTTTTAATACTTTGCTACAATAAAAAGTAGGAAGAATGAACTAACATTCTTTATATAATCTATAAAGATATTTTAAGTATAAATAATATTGTATACTGTTTGAAGCTGTAAGATAATGAGTTAGCCAAGAATCAAGTGCGACAGT